GTAGGTTATTAACAACATGAATAGTAGTTCCAAATATTTGTGTCGATATCATTTAAAAATAAAAGAGAAAGATAAATGGTAGAAAAATTTTAAATAAATGAAAAATATTTTACATATATTTTAAAGGATCAAGTTTTTAAGACAATAAATAAGCGAATTTACTCTAAACTGTAACCTAGAAATATTTCTATCACTGCCTAAAAAAAGTGCTAAAATTTACTTCTAGAATCCATTTGACCCAGATTCATACCAACTCAACACATAGTAGTTATGCATTGACTAACCTCTATGGCGAAATTCTAAATATTTGTTTTATAGTATCTTTTTGTGATTTATAGACTATTAGCCTAGACAATAGTTTTTTTGTTGAAAATAATTAACAACAATATTCAGTAACTACCAGTCATTAGCACCATTTATTAATTATAAAATATAAAAAATGGCGTGTCATTATGATAAAATTTGCCTTAAATTGCTTAACCTCATTAACAATGTAGAGTGCGACTTTTTAATTAAGTTCTTAAAAAAAGATAGCAATCGCTACATTTTATTTTGTTTAGGCTACTTCTGTCTTAGGAATTTTTTCTTTTCAACTTATTTTGTAACTAGTATCCAGCCCACGAAACGGCTAGAAAACGAACATAGTCAGCTGAAGAACTGAACAGACGAATTATCGCGAATTTACTTTGAATATGAGAGGATTATGCATCCCTATATTAATACGTACCTAGCGTACAAGTGAGTGATCATTTTATTAAAAAAACTGTAGTGAAAATAAAAAGTACTCTGAAATAAGAAAGAAACAGAGATCATTATTTTCTATCTTTTAATTATAATGTATTTTAACAAGAAGTTTATTATTATTGTACCAGCGTCGTTATTTTAAAGCCTCTTATCCCAAATTTCAGCAATCTAGAATAAAGAATATATTTATTTTAACCTCAAAATTTTAAATTTTTCACGTTTTTATTTTATTTTTAAGTTTATTTAAATACATTTCAACTTATTAAATGAAAACTTATTACTTAGTCAAACATACGTATTATTTTTATCAAACCTAACGTTAATGATTATGAATTAAACTACATAATATTAAACAGGACACCGTTAGTAGGTCATGCCTATGGTGTTAATAAAATTGGAAAAAATAGAAAATTTCTCTTGTAATTATTAACATTGATAAATTCTCACTGTGTACAAATTAGTATTCCACTGTGTATAAATATTTACGGATAGGATCAGGTTAAACAACTCTGTCAATTCATTAATTTACTATATTATTGAGTAACTAATAAGCATAACTTATGGTAAGTATATAATTTAGTAGGTATAGGTATTATTACATTTATTGAATTTTACTTACGTTTTAAGAATTACCACTTCTTTCTATACAGAGTGTAATTAAAATACTTGACCAAACTTTAGTAACGGATACTACGACACAAATTAAAAATAAAAAAAACAAATTAAAAAAGTTCAAATTGACTTTTTTTTTCAACAGTGATTTCATTTAAATTCAGTGGGTATTTAGCTTTAGTTTTTAGCGTAAATGTACAGTGTGACCCACTATGGACTAAGACATCCCCTAATTTCTCTCCTTGGATGGCACGATCCAAATTTATTATTATATACGGGTGTCCCGTTCATGTTTCAAAAAAACTTGTGTGCAAGTTCCCCATGAATAATAGGGGTAGTTCATGTAATGTTTTTTTCTTAGACGCCCTGTTTTCGAGATACAGTGTGTTGAAGTTGTTACTTTCCGAATGGTTTTCCTTAATTATCTTTAAATCGGCTAAAGATAAAAATGTCAAAATTTGTACACGAGTAAACATCAACTGTGCGTTAAAAATAATGTGCAAACGGTTTCTTTCTGAAAAACATTGTCGCCGATACAGGTAATTGAAGGGATACAATCGAAAAAAAATATGTTAAAAGTCAAAATTTATTACATTTCTAAATGGTTCTATAAACTCTAAAGCATACTACAAGAAAATGAATAAATGTTGAAAGTCGGTAGCATGTAACATTTTCAAGAAATAAGAAGTTGCATTTTTTTTACCCATATAAAGCGGCACAAGTACATTAACAAAATATTACATTGAAAGAGGACTTTACCATTGAATGAGCAGAAGACATTTTGCTACCAACAGTATTTGCATTTAAGACTATAATTTTAATTTCTAACGTATCTCATGAAAGAGTTAAATTGTAAAACATTTTATTAACTAACAAAAAAAAAAAATTATATTAAGTTTTAGCTTGTTGTAAACTAACATTTAAAAATCAAAATAAACGGATTATGGTAATTAATTATCTATTAATAACTAATTTTAGATTTTGTAAACTACTACACTACCTTTACTAAAATAAACAATTGTTGAATGTACTGAATTGTTAATGGACATGAATGCTTAAAAAAGTTATAAAAACAAAAAAATATTAGGAAACAGACTCGGAGACATACAGAACAAAACAGCTGCACAATTAAATAAATGTGCAAAACTCGAAATACTACAGTAGATGCTGAAATTGTCCCCCATTTGCTTCTATGCAACTTCATTTTTCTCGAAAATGGTACATGCTACCGAATTTCGACAAGTATACCTTTTTTTGTAGTATGTTTTACAGAACCGTTTAGAAATGATATAAATTTTGAATTTTAAATTTTTTTTTTTTTCAGTTGAACCCCTCCAATTACCTGTATCGGTGTCACTGCTTATCAGAAAAAAACCGTTTGCAACGTTATTCTTAACGCACAGTTGATGTTTACTCGCGTAGAAATCTTGACATTTTTATCTTAAGCCGATTTAAAGATAATTAAGGAAAACCATTTGGAAAGTAACAACTTCAACACACTCTATCTCAAAAATAGGGTGTCTAAGAAAAAAATTTTACATGAACTACCCCTATTATTTTTCCATGGCGGCCCCTATTATTTTTCCATGGCGGCCCCTATTATTTTTCCATGGCGGCCCCTATAACGCTCTTGTAGATGTAGGTACTTCCTAAACCAATTACGATAAAGCAGTTGGCAATCCACGACTGGCTTTCTTTAGAAACGGTTTTTTGGAAAAATCTCTTTAGGAATATTGTTATTAAAGATCTAACTACATAATGTAAGCTATATCTATATGTCAATTAAAACCTATATATTAGATTTTTATCATTTAAATGTGTATAAATGTGTGTGATAAAAAGTTAGCCAAAACCTTCCTAAAATTATGAAAATGTTGAAAATGAAGATAAGCCTAATATGATCGGAATTTATTATACCTGTAATCGCAACTATGAAAGAGTATGTCAGATGTATTTGTATGAATATCCTGAAAAAAATTAGACCGAAATTTGACAAAGAAATCTAAACAAAATTAGATAAATTTGAAACGAATACAGATGAATTTTTCGTGACAAAACGACTGAATCTAGTTCGGGTTGAGGCAGTACAGTATTGGGGGTCATGAAGGCTTGCAAAAAATGTAATAAAATTTCCAGGGTCGTATTTAAAAAATGAAGTTGAAGATGTTCCTGAAAAGACGAAACGTTACATATAAAAATTGGTTATACCATTCGATAGAGGGCAAAAAGTTGCCATGAGAAAGTGTTCTTCTTTTTTCAATATCACCTCAAACAAGGCAGAAATGAAATAAAAACGGATTTACAAAATTTAGTTTTTTTTTCAAATATCTCGAGAACTGATCATGTTAGCTTTGATTTTTTAGAGGCATAATGTTGGTCCCCTGATTATATAACTTTGCCCCCATTTAAGCTACTTCGTATCTCTTACCATTTCCGAGATCCCTGTAGTGAGAAGTGAATTTGTAACAGCCTGTATAAGTAGTTACATTTTTAGAAATGTCAAGGTATTTTTAAAATAATAATATCAATTTAAATAATCATATCCATAAATAAATTAAAATATTAATTTTATGGTTTCCTTCAATTGGGTTTTACAATACACCATATCTCTAATTAATTCTGAAACACCCTTCATCTCGAAAACTATGCAATTACAGGCAAATGTACATAGAAGTTTTTTTTATTAATTGATGGCGTTAAATTCGCCTTTAAAGTATGACCAACTTTTCATTTCATCCTGTGTAATACAGTACGAATTCGTACTGAGAACTAATAACTTTTTATTATGCTTTTAGGATTTCAAAATAAACTCACAAAGATAATATTCAACAAAATTCACCTCCACTTTATTCTCTACAATTTTTTATAGAATACAAAATATTTTTAAGCAATCACTTCTTTGGCTATATCTATATGTCAAATATTTGAAGTGAATTGTCTAATTAGTTTTTAAAAAATTATTTTCCCAATAGACTATAATGTAATAAATTACAGAAAGATAAAGCAATGTAAATAGTTTATTATTTTAAAAGAGAAATTAGTATGTTTTTAAATTCCCGATTTTTCCTTACATGAACCAATTTTTAAGTTACCGTAGAGAACATTTGAAAAGTTTCCAATATATTTATTAATATGTCCAATAGCAGTAAGTAGGTATTTCTTAAGTAACTTAAAATATTTCAATTGGTTTCATTCTAAACCTACTAAAGAAGTAACAATAAAGTTACACATTGTTAAATTACCATTTTCTTAAACACAGTGACCGGTATAAGATTCTGAAATTATTTTCGCGAATTAATGTGTAATTGAATGTTAAAACTTAGTGCGTAAAATTTTTTTTCTTAATCGAGATTTACACTACACCTTTATTAACTTGGCTAACCTAGCATCAAGGTAATGAAAGTTCCAATGAAATTAAAATTTGTTGCATGACAAAAGTAGGCTTGCAACATGCGAGTATCATATAGCAGGAAGCCAATTTCTCACATAATACAACGTAGAACGTAATACTACTTATTGTTTTGTAAGACCATATTCACTAATTATTATTTCGAAAATGACCGCGCCTCCACAATATGTAGGTATTTTTTGCAATTAACCATTTTAAACGTTACTAATTGACAGTCGTAAATAACAAACGAACATATCTTTAAAAAAATATAACAGAATTTATTAAGAACAGTTAACATAGGAAAAATATAAATAGTTTCGAAGAGATACAAGAAGACACACATAGTGTGGATCACCGAAAATTCATCTATTTGTGGCCATAACCGCCATAACTTCCATAGCTGTCATAACTTTCGTGACCACCATATTCATGACCATGGACTGGTACCGGTACAGGAACTTTGACGTAATATGGGACTGGTTTCTCTACTGATACTGGAACTGGTTTTGCTACTGGTACAGGGACTGGTCTGTCAACAGCAATTTTAACTGGATATGGTACAGGTCTCTCAACTGGATATGGTACTGCTTTTTCGACGGGGTATGGGGCGGGGTATGGAACCTTTACGTGGACGGGGTAAGGTCTATCTACAGGTACTGGGTAGGGTCTGTCTACAGCTACTTTAACTGGATAAGGTACTGGCTTTTCGACAGGAACAGGTACGTTCTTGATGACATGTACTGGGTAAGGTTGAGGAACATGTACTGGGTAAGGTCTGTCGACTGGTACTTTTACTGGGTATGGTACTTGTTTGTATACTGGGTAGGGTTGTGGCACATGAACTGGTACTTTCACAGGTACAGGAACGGGCTTTTCAACTGGGTAAGGTTGGGGTACTGGTACTTTAACTGGATATGGAACATGTTTCTCAACTGGGTAAGGCTGAGGTACCAAAACCTTAACAGGATAGGGCCTGTCTACTGGTACCTTAACAGGAACGTGGATAATTTTTTCAACGGGGTAGGGCTGAGGAACTGGTACAGGTACTTTTACTGGTACTTTAACTGGGTAAGCCACTGGTCTCTCTACGGGGTAAGGTTGTGGTACTAAAACTTTTACTGGATAGGGTACATGTTTGGTTACTGGAACTGGAATGTGTTTTTCTACTGGGTATGGAACCGGTACGCCTTTGTACCATGTGACGGTTTTCTCTACAGCAGTGCTGTGACCTAAATCGATTGCACCGAGTCCTAAGGCATATCCGCCTGCAATTCCATGTCCGCCTTGCCCTACGTGATAACCATTATCGAAGTCACCGCCGTAGCCGTATCCCAAACTAAGTAATCCACGCTTTGCCTGCTTCTTGTCAGCTTCTACTGCTTTCTTCTCCTTGGCCTCGGCGTTTACCGCCACTGCCACAAGGACTAAGATCGACAGCGTAATCTAAAGCAAAAATAAAAAAATATTAAGATTTTCATAGAAAACTGATAGAAAAATGTTTTTTACGATTTGCTTTAAACCAAAATATTATGTCACTGGTAACGGACATTCTAGATTATTAAATCATTATACCATTTAATGTGTAGGTCATAACGTATAATATGCCTTTTTATTGTCAATTAAATATCAATGAAATGTTTTCACCTAGCTCCCAATATTAACTAGTTGGTTTAATAGCTCCATATTTAGTAATAATGAATAATAAATGACATTATTCACACCACGTTATAATTACGTTTAATATGTCAATTAAAAAATTATTACTCCTTATGCAATGAAAAATTATATTAATACTGTGTGAATAAATCCATTAATTTTATTTAAGTTATAAATTATTCAAGAGATTTGTATTTTGCTTCAATTTCTTATGATTCTTTTTGGAATAAGTGCGAAAAAAAATTTAGTTAACTTAAGCAAGTCCAACTTTTGCACTGTGAATCAGAAATCGATATACTATTTTTTTTTACAAAAAAAAAACACTGTAAATTAACTAAATTGTTAATCGCACTATTTAATCCAGAATTTGGCACTAAATCACAATATCACAATATGTATCACAATAATCACTGAAACTAACCAATGGCTTCATATTAGTGTTCATGAAGACTGTAGTAGTCCTACAAATAAACTGTATACCTTTTTGAGGTCTTCAATGACTTTTATACTCCTTGGTTACTTTCATGAGCCGCCACTTCTTCTTGTGCAAAACTTCTTCCCCCAGAAAACCGATTCGCTTCCAATGTTGAGAAAGTCAATTTTCAGCCACCATAATCTAGGAGGCAGGATTCGCGTCCTTTACGTAACACTCACATGCATGCGTGATGTCAGATGGTATTCGGTTGCCAGACGTTCCGCTGGTTTAATATCTTTACAAAATATTGAAATTCTTGCGAGGAAAGTACCCCGTCCTTAAACTTGTTGATTCTCATTGTTATGAAACTCTTTTCCATTGTGTGGCATACACATTGTAACGTCATGGCTTGCATTGTTAGCGTTTGGAGAACGGCCCGCGCTATGAATTTTAAATTTAGAAGATTTTCACGGGCCATTCCAAATGTTTGATGAATTATTATTGCATACAGCTATGCAGGATCTAACGTGTCTGTAAAATTCGATAATCAGAATGGCAAGTAATTTTTTTTAATTTTTTTTCAATACCAACCATTTATTCAAATATTTTTTTCTCTTCAAACTAAGAGATTTTGTGCAGACTGATGTTTGAATTTTCCAATCTAAATCATTATTTTAATGTCATAATTTACATTCCACACACAAGCCTAATAAAAATTAAAATAATATTATTAATTTTTAGTAGTTAATTCAATAGGTATTTAATTAATAAAATTACAAAAATTTGAACCCATTTGCTATTGTTTATAAAGCTAACAACGAAAATTTTGTTACAGGTATTTCGTGAGCACTATTCTTCAATTTCAAATTTATAGAGCATTGTGCTCAGCATCAGGGCAGTATATTCCTTCCGACCCATCTCGTCCGTTGCACAAATGCGACATATACAGAAGTAAGGAAGCTGGAAAAATCCTGACGTAAGTAAATAAATATAATTTTTTAAATTGGCGCTTGGCTTATAAAATAATTGTATTATTTCTATATTTGACCAATAGTTCAAAATAAAATTCCAATTTCTTTAAAATCAAACTTTAATATTTTCGTATTCTATATTATTCATAATTAAGGCATTATAGTGTTTCATATACTTCATATATTTATTAAAAGATATATTTTATATATCCACGTTTACTAAATAATGTTTTGTTATTCAATAAAATGATGCTAATTTTGTTTCTGTCGTATATATGTATTTACGTATCTAGTATATGTTCGATGATTTAAAAAAATGTAGGTATTATTGTGCTGCCTGGAATAGTGTTAGATCAAGACAAAAATAAAAAATTTAAAAATATGTAATTGTACGAAAATTATTTAATTCAGATGGGATCCATGTAAATCTGATGAACCTTTCTACAAAAATTTTAACCATTTCTCGTAATTAAGATTAAACTGTGTAATTTATATTCTAAAGAGAAAATAGTGAATATTCTCATTAGTCTAGGAAATATTTTGAAGAAATAAATATTTTCGATTAAATAGTGTTACATAAAAATTGGAATTAGATTTCCAACGCGAAGTTTTATCATTTAGTAGCGAGTATCGACTATCGACTTATCTACTGTTATTATTTTTTTAATACAAACAATATACAGGTAACATAAATAAATAAATATTTTGGCTTTAAGGGATTCTTAAATTATGTCTAATCAATTTGATATAATAACCATTGCACCGAAGAGAGTAAGAGAATGCACTACTCCAAAAACATGGAAAAGTTTATACTTAAGAAAGTTGATGATGGCAATAGAAGCAAAAATGGCTTTAAAAACGTGTTTTCAATTTTTTAGCATAGCCCTTCAAATAATCTGCAATTCTCCTACTATTTAAAATTTATGTTGACTTATTTCACCAGATTACAGATTTGGTAGACAAATGTAAACATTTAGTTTTAAAAAATGGTATTTCTTTCTAAATTTAATAATTTAGTAAAATCACCTTTTAGTATGTGTGTGTAATTAATATATTAAACTTTTAAGTATTCAGTTTCTTGTAAAATTGTATAGTGTTGGCAGGAAACGTATACTGATAATTACAAAGCACTATTTAGGCCAGTGAAAAATCATGAAATCTGCCACTAATCTCAAATTTATTCCTTCCACTATCGACCTTCAGTGTTTCCTTTAAGCTGTTATAAAGAATCCTTGCAGGATATTGCGTTTCTGAGGCACAATTATAGACACAAGAGAAATTTAAAATGATACATACCTATACTTTTATTAGATTTCTCAAAGTTTTTGAAATTTTAGAATCTGTATAACGATTAAAATGATTAATAAAGTGAAGTATTTATGTGGAAATTTAAAATACAATTTCCAAATTTCTCAATTGTGATAGATATTGGGCTATATGCTCACAGAATGGGAAATATTCGACATCATACGCATAATCTTTTACTAGTACCTACCAGGCAGCAAAACGCAGAAAATGTTCATCAATAGCATTTAAAAAAATCATAATCGTTGAAAATGCATTACTTCATTCCTTTTATCCCCTACTATTTGCCAACCATATTCTCAATATTTTGAAAAACTCAAAATGAAACCCTGTCATCAAATTTCCGAAAGAATAATGTTTTAACCATCCTGTATATGGAAATCACTCATGGATTCCTAATAAAGTACTGAATGTATTTACCAAATATATTAATTATACAAGTAATAGCAAATTGCATATATGAGTATGTGGAAAGTTTGAATTTTTTATAATTTATGCAAATATTTATAAGTATTTTTAGAAAACAGGTTGTAAATATGTATGTAAATAACATCTTAATACTTTTATACATATATACGAGAATATCAGTGATGGATTGTTATGTTACGCTTTCAATAAATTAAAAATATGCATTAATTAATATCATAGTTTGTTTGTATTAATTTTCATAAAAACTATTAGTATGGATATTGGGAAACACATGTCATTAATTATTTAAAAGCTACCATATCCACTTTACTGTCCACTCGACTTTGTTACTGCAGAGAATAATTTGAATAGAATAATTTGAATATTTTTTTGTTTACTCATTACCTGGCACATTTAGTCCCACGCTACTGCATATGTTTACATATGGATTACAAAGCACTTCTTGAAGAATCTGTATCATTTCAAAACTGCCATTATTATATAAGACATAAAGGAGTTGACCCAGTTAAATTTAATTACGTCCAGGATTTTAGAAATAAGATGTCAAAAAGTAATTCCATACAGCAATTAATTATAGCGGAAAGTGTGCTCATTTAGATATAATTTCAATGGAATTCACTTTCAAAGTCATGTTTTATGCACAAAATGAGTAACCTACAAAGTAACTATACCATTCAACCTAATACATTAATTTTGTTATATAGCCATTGCGCAATGGCATAACTTGGGAGGCTTTATTAGGACTACGATTGCCTGAAGTAAATTTTATTTTATTTCTTATCAACTGTTATATCGATTATATGAAAAAAATTGCAACATGTAGGAAAAAGACTTGTTATTGAAGAAAATTAAATTTTTTTCATCTGGTAGGTAGCGGGAAAATATACAGTGTGATTACCTGAGGCTTTTAATTCAATTCATTCAGTTTTAAGGTGAAAGGTCTGTCCACAAATATGACAAAATAAAAGTTAATTCAAAATATTTTAGAAAACATGTATTCTATTACCAACTTTTGTATTTTCTACTCTAATTTAAAACTGTTAAGCTCTTTGAGCATATATACTGGAGGCAGCGAGTGGCTGAGAGTGTATCGGATGTTGTAGAGAGAGAGAGAGAGAGAGGTATAGATTGGTTTTGCCGTGAACAGCAGCATCTGTCGTTGACAAGGGGAGAGGACGGCAGCCAATCGCGTGCTGCTAGAGAGAGATAGCATCTCCCCTCCTATACCTCTCTTTCTCTACAACCTTCCCTATACTGTCGACCACTGGGACGCTGCCTCCCGTGGTATATGCTCTAAGACAATTCAAACAAATTGGAAAAACTATCTAAAAAATACGAGGCATATGCACACAGGAAAAGTACTAAGACTCTGATGTTCTGTGGTTTTTGTTCCCGATAAAGTTGGCAACATTGCCTTCAAGGCCAAGGTGTTGGGAAGCAGAAAGCGCATTGATTTGTTTCGGCGAGTTGAGAACTGTTGTTGTAGTGGCGTGTTGAAATGAGTATCATTATTCCGAATCCCGTCCGATGAACTTCTTGACTGTATTCTGACTAGCAACGAAACGTGTGTGGCCCTCTACACCTCTGAGACGAAAAGACAATCAATGCAGTGACGACCATATTAACGAAGAAATTCAAAACCATTGTTTCGTTCTGAAAAATCATGGCAACTGTGTTTTGGGACCGTAAAGGGATTCTCCTTATTGACCTTTTGCCCCAGGGGGAAACAGTTATTGCTGTGCGGTACTGTGAAACCCTGAAAACTCCACAGAGGGTGATACAGAACAAAAGAAGGAGAATGTTAACGAAGGGAGAATGCTTGTTATATCGTCCCCACACAGTCACCACCACAAAGCAATTATTGGATTCATTCGATTGGAACATCATCAACCACCCCTCGCTCACAGCCCTGATCTAGCACCTTATGATTACATCTTTTCTCTGGTTTTGGGTGGAAAAATGTTTTCTGACGATGTGGTCTACAGTGCCGTGAAATAATAGGCTCAAGGGGCGGCGGGAGATTTTTCTTGACGAAGGTAATAGAAAGCCCATCCCTCGGCTCACAAAGTGCATTGAGGTTGAAGATGACTACGTTGAAAAATAGTATTTGATGTACCTTTCTGAATATGTAAATTTTTCATAAATATACGTATGTATATTTATTTAACGGCAGTATTGCCGTTTTGATTTAAAAAAATTGAGTTTTCTTACTTTGTGGATATGCTTCGTATGATCAAATGAAATCAGACAATGCTTTTCGATACCAGAAATTTAGGTATTCAAAAGATATTTCTAACACCACAGACAATATTCGCAACTACTGATATTGTGGGAAACAACTATTTTATGGACTACATGCTCCAACTAGCATAAAATTATACTAGCAGTACTTTGTAAACAGATTAATAAATAATTTATCTGAAAATAAAAATTAAAAATAATGTTTCAATGTAATTAACACAAAACACACACACACAATATCTTGTATTCTCGCAGTTTATCATATTTGACAAACTCTAATAGCATAACAAGCAACCACTACAAAGAGAACTTTTTGTTTCCACATTTTACTTGGGATTGTTTCATCAAGTAACCCAGTTTCGTATTGAATATATAATTATTAACAAAACAAAATTATACAGGGCGTTCTGAAAAACACTATCATAAATTCAGGGCCTGATAAAATTTCAAAAAATATTACAATTTGTTCCCATGAACCATGGACGTATCTTTTCCGTTTTCAAGAACGTTGAAAATAATTTTTTAGAATCTAGTTGAACTGAAATTATGTTATGTGAGATTTCTGGGGATGCTAAATGCTCTGGAGTTATTAATTTTTGGCTATATCGTACAAAGCGTTCAATGCAGTACTTCGTGGGAACATTTTAGATCCTAACTTTTTGAGGTTCATGTTTTTGCCCCTTTGTCACTCGCTGTTATGGCAAATTTTATTCTAAACAAGAAAGGTGCTCTTGTAAGAAGTGCTGAAATTTACCCGTTTGTAATATTTTTGAAATTTTATCAGGCCCTGAATTTTTGCTAGTGTTTTTCAGAACACCCTGTATATAACATTGAACTTTTAGAAAAAATAATTGTTTTTCTATATAACAATATTTTTATTTACTTCTCGTACTAGGTATCTTTTGCATACCAAGACTTCTGATATTGAAGAATATTGTTTGACTTCATTGGATAAGATTTAAAAAAATGAATGAAATGAAAAATGTTTGAATTAATCCTTTAAAATAGAGTCAAAAATATTTTAAATTCC